TGATTGCACAAGCAAATACACAATGGGCAGCCATGCATGATTGCTAAGTAGGTATGCACACATGTAGCTACTCAGTGTACAAGTATTTGCAAAACATGCATGCATGCACATATATGTGTATGTGTCAACTATGCACATGTATGCACAAAACATGCACATATATACATATATGCACAAACATGCATTTAATGCATGTATGCATGCACAAAATATGCACATATATACATATATGCACAAACATGCATTTAATGCATGTATGTATGCACAAAACAAGCATATATATATACATATATGCAGGTATGCACAGACATACATTTAATACATACATATATGCACAACACATTTAATATATGCATATATTCACATATATAAATGTATACACAGATGTATGCATCGAATTCATGCAAATATGCACAAAACACGCATGCATGCACATACAGTGCTCACAGAAAGACTTGAGATACTTGTTTAATTCAGTAAAAACATTACAGATTTATAACAAAAATCATTACTTTATTCATTTGTTTAAAAAACCAGTAGTTTTAAGCAAAACATTCATTTCAAATAGCAATAAATTGAAACTCAAATTGTAGTTCAAAAAAGTTCATTGACAAGCAGTCTTACTAAGTGCTTTTTAGTTAGTGACTCCTTTGCAATGACATAAAACACCAAACACTTGTGTTTATTATCCCTTTGGGAGGCAATGACCACAATTGCAATTAACAGCAAAATGGCAAGACCAGAACTGAATGAGTCAATCAAAAAAAATTATGACACTTAATAAAAAGAAAATGTCAGTGCAGAAGATATGTGCAGATATGTTAAACATAGCTTGTCAATGGACTTTTGTTATGAAACCAATAAATTTGCAACATTTTTACAGAATTAAGCAAAAGCCCCAAGACTTTCTGTGAGCATAATGTATGTATGAATGAACCATTCTCATGTATGCACAACACATGCATACATACATATATATGCATGTATGAAAAAACATATACACACGTCGATGCATTCATATACATTAGGCAGCACATTTTCGCACAAATGTACACATATGCATTTGTGTAAAGATGTAAACATGATGCACGGGATGCAAAAACACATACAATCATACACTGGTTTTCCTCCCTGTCGGGTCCATTCTCGTGGCGCCGCGATAACAGGACTGACGTGAGCGTACGCGTCACACTGCCTGCGCTCATCTCACAGCATCTGTGGTAACTTAGAAAGATTTCGTCGCTGTGAATTTGCCTCCCTGGAGTTGGCTCACGTCTGTATTCATTCTGGTCTGGATCATACAGGGGCCTGAGGCTGTCTGACTGCTCCAAACGAGCACTGAGTGGGCACTTGTGACACGGCTAGTCACATGACCTTATTGGCACACAGGAGACTAATGTGTTGTGAAGTGGTAGGCTACCACGCTGGATGTACTGCTTGAAAGCTGGGAGTTAAACCTGCCCGGGAGAGAAGCTGACAGGGAGATGAAAACAAAGAAGGATATTGTCATGCACTGGCTGATGATGTCGGAGGTATAAGCTTAGAGCCAGCGGGAGCAGTACGTGTTTGTGTGTCGTACAGAGGCATTTGCTCGACTCAGCCAACAACCTGGGGAGAAGGATCCGCCTCAGATTTGAAGTCCTTCTTCAGACAGCGGCACCCACACCTGAAAGTCTTAGCAAGACCCATGACTTGGACTGCAGAATACATCTGAATATGGGAGACCCATGGGGGCATACAGTCACGTTCACTTGCCTGGTTGCTTTTGAAAAACTCAGATACAAGGTTTTCTTTATTTTTTTTAATGGATATAATTCAGGCTTTTATTGTAGTTATTGGTTAGCACTGTTACCTCACACCTCTGGGACCAGTTTTCAAGTCTCTGCCATGGCTACATGTGTGTGGAGTTTGCATGTTCTCCCGTGTCATCACAGGGTTTCCTCCAGTTTGCTCCTCACAGTCCAAAACCATGCTTAGGTGACCTGGAGTTGCCAAATTGTCTGTGGGTACAAACGGTGCACCCTGTGATGGGTTGGCGCCCTGCCCTGGGTTATTCCCTGCCTTGCACCTATAGCCTCCGGGATAGGCTCCAGACCCCTGCAACCCTGCATAGAGCAAGTAGGTACAGAAAATGGATGGATGGACAGTTTGCATTAAATTATTTTTAGGTATTTTTTTCCTAATTGTTCATTGCTGTACTCTGAAGGTGGGTGCCCCCCCCCCCCCCAGTTTGGTGGTCTCTGGTCCATGGAACTTCAAGGAGATTGCTCAACCCTTTATTGTGGAAGGAGCATGATGTCAACTGATGAGATCTTTAACTGGTCCTGACAAAGAATTTGAGAAGATGTATCTCTCCTTGCAATAGCTATGTAAGAGCACATTTGTTTACAGCTTGACCGATTGTGCTGAAGCACAGAGGGACCTATTCTCCCCCAAAACTGAACCTTTCCCCTAAACTGAAATTGGCTCCCAGCGATACATTAAAACCTGCAGCGAGTGACATTTGTCTTTAATAGTATATTAGCTCAGCCTTAATAAATGACATCCCCCAGTGTTTAATTGGCTCGGACCAAGCGAGCCCCTAATAAACGTCATTACTTCCATATTTAATGATGCATGCTCTTGGTGAAAAATGATCTTTGATGAACCCAAAAGTGGAACCTAATGGACGATGTTTTTTATTGAATGTAAACTATTACGGTCTAAAGGTCTCCTTGGTCATTTTTGCTGATTTATTCATTTTTAAAGCCATTGTTCCCAAATAACAATAAACTGAGGTGGGTGTAAATGGACCCTCATCCCTTTCTGATGTGTAATATCTCAGCATGATGTCCTCTGGTCACTCACACCACACGGCCCCCTCTGTCTTTTGTCTTTTTTGTTTGGTCATGATTACAACTAATCTAAGCTGGCCTGTGGGGTTAGCTGACAATCAGCAACATTTCTATATTTCCAAAACAGATGTGTTTAGGGTTCAGTGCAAGTCCCAACAACATAAAGATTTGCACAGAAATATATAGGCCTTGCTTTAAGTACCACACTCAAGGGTACAACAGGAAATCCCTCTTTTTGGCAAACCTTTTGGAAGGAATCCCAGTACTTAACTGCTATACTCTGTTAAGTTGTAAAGTAAGTCATTTCTAGGTTCCCTGCATTCCCAAAAAGATCCCTTACGCAGCACGAATGATGGCATGACAGATTTGTTTATTAATATGTTTCTCTGGGACCCTCACTGCAGTTGCCATGGCGCCCCACACTCTAAAGACCCATAAAGGGCTGCATCACGTGCGGATCTGTCCTTGTGATAGAATCCTGCCCACTGAAATGACCTGCAGTTTGGGACCACAGTGAGTGAGTGTGCAGCGCAATGTGGTGGCAGGAATGCCAGAAGAGTAACTCACCCGCACTAATGCCCCACGTTTCATAAGCATAGCATTAAATATGTAAATAAAATATATCAATAAGCCTTTTTTATTGCCCATCATCAGTGTGTCTGGTGTATTTCCCCGGTAAAGTTTGAATTTCTTGGATTTTCTTGTCTTGCGTATCCCTTGGGTTTACTTCTGTCATTATTTCACTGAGGGATTTATTCTTTAGACCAGTGTTTCCCAACCCATTCCTTGTGGACTCACAGACTGTCCACATTTTTGCTCCCTCCCAGCTCCCTGCCAGACAGTCCACATTTTTACCTGGAGCTGTGAGGAAGCAAAAACGTGGACTGCCTGCAGGTCCCCGAGGACCGGAGTGGGAAACACTGCTTTAGACCAATGAAGAGCAGCGACAGAGAGCATGCCCCGTTTACTCTTCTGCTGATAGGTTGCTATGATGATCCATCACGGAGCTCCTGTTTTTTTATTTCAAATAAATCGCCCCTCTCTGGCCAGCTGGAACAGCCCTTCTTTCCGGGTTGGGTAAAATCTTCAGGATGCTCAGTTCGGAGGTGGCAACACTGAGATGACTCAGAGCGACCGCTGTCATCATCCCCTGACACTGGTCACAGTTTGGGGGCAGCGTCAGTCAGACGGCTCAGATCAACCGTTGCCATTGTCTTCTGACACTGGTCACGGTTTCTGTCACACTGTTCCACAGATTTCCATCAGAATCAACGCATCAGAACGCTTCTCAAACAAGGGCTGTATCCCAGCAGCAACTGTTTCCAGGAGCCTTGTGAATTGTGATACCTCAGATTTAGATCATTGGCTGACCAAAAACAAGAAAAAAGATTGCAATAATTTCCCAAGTAGATGCTTTGGCTAACTGCTCAAGGAATATAAATAAAGTATTACGTAATAAAATTATTTATTGACAATAATTAGCACTACATTTAGTGATTTTTTTCCCCCAAATGCTTAGAGATGGAGATGGAAGGGCGCTATATAAAAATCAACTGAAGTCAGCGGCATTGTTTATAAAAAATACGAACCCTATTTTCATTTAGCTCGCTCTCAATTACAGCACACCCATAAGAAATGTGTCAAACCAGGATTCATAAATGTCAAGTCAGATAATGTCCGGAATGGAATCGACAGCCATTGGGTCTAATTTCATTAGAAAGTTCAGCCGTAACAGAAGCCAGAGCGGGCGGTGGTGGTGCCCGACCCGCTGCACCCTACCAGCTGCGATCTCGCCGTACTGAGGGCTTGTGATGGTCTGCATCCCAGTTCACACAGTCCGACTGAGAATGACTTATCCAACATGACAGCGTGCATGTCCTGCTGCTTCTAACCGAATTCTGGGTCAACGTCATGATGCTGCGTAAAAACCAAAACACTGGCCTAGTAATTCAGCCGTCTTCTGCCTGCTTATAAGAACAAAATATCCATATGCTGTAAGACAATTTGCATGAAAGTCTTCACCAATCAAATCTACCTTATCATGACATGCAGCTGTGAAAACCGTGTATACACGATAACACATATACACAGAAACACACACTGCCCTTATTAACTTCAGAAAATGTACTGTATTTTATGGCTTAATACAAATTTACCACATTTATGTCATGAAAGCAAAAAAAAGGTTTATTCATGTTTAAAACTACACAAAACTACTGTACCACAAATAAGACTTTTCAGTCCAGGGTGTAGTCTGGTTAGAAATGAGCACAGAACATTTCTGATACATTAGAATCACTTGCCACAAATCATGACCTAATTGGTTTTCAATTTGCATACAATACAAAATTAAAATTAAAGAAGGTATGGACCCTGTCAGACAGGGCTCAGAGTACACTGTTCAGAATACTGAAAATCTATGCTTTCTCCCCATTATAAATTTTTTTGTGTGGATTAGTAACAAGATGAGCAACATTCAAAATGTTTTCTTTTTTTGCAGTATTTACAACAGTTTCACTGTTCGCTGTTAACAGCCATCCGTGTTAATCCACCGTACACGCACGCGCGGGTATGCGCGCTCCTGCTATATTCCCGCCGTCGTTACTGCACGCGAGTCTGATGTCCTACGCAGAAGAATGGAATCGCGTTTCCTTATGATTAAAATATACATCAGATTACGTGACATGAAAAGTTCACGACAAAATGAAAAACGACGCAGGTAAGAAACAAAATAAAATGCCGAAAAAGAGTAGAAGTGATACTGTTTAGAGGTAGTAAGTGGACACTCTAAGCTATATAATGTGTTGAATTTCTATTGGTTTCTATGAGTTTGAATGAGGTAAAAAACTATGTTTTAATGGTGGCAGATACAAGCTACATATGCTAACATAAAAGGAACTTGCGTGACTGCATGGTGTTTGTGACCAAAATGAAGCACAACACAAGCTCACTAAGCCATTTCAGCTTTAACACCTGAAACATGGTAACGTTTCAGGGTATGAAAATTATAATAACGATTTTGATAAGAGCCTGGATTTAATTACAAATGTAAGGAAATATGTCACAACTTTCTAACGATGATTTTCTGAGCTTTTCCCTAGAATGCAAAGCGCTGTTGACCGTCAGGATTTTGAGATTACTGAGAAATCGATGATCACAAGGCAAAATAATATGAAAAAATGTAAAACAACAACAAACAAAAAAAATATTCACGCAGGCTGCCAGTGAGTGTAACGTTTAAGCCGCGTTAAGTGCGCGCTTCAGCACGGAATTACCAGGTATAGTCGCCGGCAGCCAACATTCCGTAGAGTCATTAGCACGTGTCTTAAAGGACAAATTATTCAAATCCACCATTAGGGAAAAAACGCTGGCAAACCGTCGGCTGCTGGCGCATGCGCAAGTTCCCTAACAAGGTCCAAGACGCAACTGCAGTGGCGGTGCACGGGTGGTCCACATGCGGCACTGCCAGCGGCTTCACCAACAGGTTACCAGCACAGTCAAATCCAAGTAGGGGTAACTGGGTGCGTAAGAGGAAGCAAACAGGCAGATGCAGGGTCAATTCATGAGGACCTGGACATATGAGTCAAACTTCTTGTCCATGAGTCACTACAGCTGTGTGGAACAGATCCAGTCTTATCATTCTGGCAGTATAATATATAGATGAAAATATTTGTATAAAAAGCCTCTGGAGAAAAAAATATTCATATTCAGTTGTGAGAACATGGAGGATCCGAGCATTGTGGGAGAATTTTGGACACGGGGCAGATCAGTCATAAGCAGCAGGAGGGAGGGTGGTTTGGAAATGGTTGGGCCTCTGCGATGGGTCATTCTGCTGCGTATATGCGTGGCAGATGGGGGGTCAGTTCGAGGTATCAGAGTGCACACTTCCAGGTCCTTCTACAGGGGAGGTTACGGAACATGGAGGGGCCTCGTCTTGCCATCCACCATTAGCCTGCCAGGAAGACAAACCAGGACAGACTGATTAACCACAGAAGTCATAGCACACAATGTGTGTATTTTCCAGCCATAGAATCATCGGTTCATTAACTGTAGAATTTCTAGGATAGGATGTGATTATGAATTAACCATGGAATCACTGAGTCATTCACTGTAGAATTCTAAGTCAAGGATGCGATTATTAATTAACTATAGAATCACTATTTCATTAATCATCAAACGGATAGTATAGGAGGTGTATAACCATAGAATGATTCATAGTACAGAAAAGGGAGAGAGAGTCCTGCCCATTGAAATTCCACAAAGCGGCAAAAATAAACAAGGAATTTTAAATGTATTTTTCAGAGATGATTATAATAAATATATCTTTATGTGTACTTGTTTCACTCAAAACCAGTTCAGTTTTTTTAAATCTATTTTTGAAGGAACTTCATAGCCAGACCATCAATATATATTAGAAATAATCCATGATATGTAATAAGACTGTGGCACACTCCCTCGGTGTCCGTTCTTTACAGCAGCAGTGTAAAAAACGTTAGCCTTGTAGCTTCTAGCTAGCCAGTGAGATGTGTTTGCTTTACATCGGCAGCATTCGGGAGGGGGCCAAAGGATGCCAAGACTGACGCACCGCACCTGATTGGAATTCTGCCATGGCCGGCAGGCTGTCGCTACGTGTTTGAGATCTGCGAGGGGGACAGGGGGCGCTGGGGCGTCGCCAAGGGACGCTAAATGGAAGCGATGGGGGGTGGGCACTCCAAGCCAGCTTGACTGCTGCGTCTTGCTAGCGGCAGTGAAAAGCCGCAGCTCCCCCACCCACTGTTGCCCCCCCACACACACTATCGCATGTGCAAATTAATCTCTAATGCAGATCACAGGCAGAAGGGTTCACAGAATTTTTCTGACACAGGCTTTGTTTTAACTATCATAGAAAAACACAAACAATGAATTACTTGATGATATTGTAGTCCACTTATGTTGTAGTTGAATTCCTTATTTTATTTTGTATTATGCTGACTTCTTAATTTTTGTTATTTTTAAGCATGGTGAGAACTATGCTTTGTCACAACAATTCCCCTTGGGACAAATAGTTTTACCTTTTTGCCGATATATAGAAACTTGTTTGTCTTTCATTTTAACATAGACCTATACAAGTTTATTTTTTTAAACATAAATGAAAGTGTTTTGTTCTAGATTTTGGTTTCATCCTTTGGGTGCATAATACTCAAGGTTTCCTCCGCAGTAACAAACCACAGTTCAATCTGAATAATGAAGTGGGCGGTTGACAGGATTACACCACCGGTCTTCTCCTTCTGAATATGTGACAGTGTCTGGACGAACAAGAGGTGTGCTTGCCCTTTTCCGGTTCCTCATCTGAGGTGCCGCTGGGCCCGGCTTCTATTAAGCAGCTGACAACTGTAGACCAGACCCCCACGGAGTTCAAACGTTTCTCTCAGTTAGTGATTGATTTATACCCAAAACTAGTGAAATGACATATTGGGCAAATGATGAATTCACTCATATCAACGAGTGAAGAGAGGAGCTCTAATCGCCTAGCTTTGCTCAAGGGAGCAATCTCCCGAACAGATACCTCTATGAGGATACCGGTCCCACTCCAATGAGTCGAGCCCGGGGGCCAGTCATCATCACCAGTTTAACGCATAATTTATTCCAGGCCTACCGGATTGGACCATTTCTGTCTGTCGCTGTCATTTTAATAGGAGGCCCCGCCCAGTTCAACATTTCACTCAACCCTCAGCAACAATATCGATTGTGCCTGTTTATTTCCATCTTTTAAGGATGCTAGGGGGAGAGGATTTTAAAGAAGTCCCTCTTTCCCGTGTCTGTCACACAGACCTGTTAACAAACCACTCAAACTGGAGCAGAAAGAGTATGAGCAGAGTCTGTAGACATCGGTGGAAAGTCAGATAAACAAACCTATAAATAAACAAACAAATAAAGCGACATTTGGGAGTAAAAAAAAATATTTAATGGCTTCTACTTGTTCAGGTTTGTTTGGCAAGGCGGGGAATGAATGTAAAGGTGTCTGCTGATAGATCCCAGCTTCATGGCCTGATAAACAACAAAAGTCAATATTTCACTCTGATGCCACTGAAGAAATGATTGTCAGGCATCTCCCTTTTTGCTGCCTCTCTCTCTCGCACTCTCTTGCTCTCCTGTTATCACTCCCCCCCCCAAATAAATGAATCTTTACTCCGGTGCATTCCGATGGCATCCTGTGTTATACAGTGTGTCTTATCAACTCTCATCAGGAAAGATGGGCCTCTTTTACTGCATAGAGGCCGCGTGCCATCACAGCGTCATATTTCACTGCGCCGAAACCGTTTACGGCAAACCAGCGCAAGCATTCCAATGCGGTTAAATGAAAATGCGGGGAGCGCAACTAAAAGCCTTTTCATGCCGTTTTGCTACAGGTTATAAACACTCACAAAGTGGGAAAGGAGAGCTTCATTTTTGCTTAAAGGGAATTCTCCTCTCGTGGGTGTTGACAAGAAAGGACGCTTTGTACTCCTGCCGAGAAGAAGGATGCCGCCTTGCCTTTTGTCATCTTTTGCCCCTGTCTTTCCCTGTGCCTGTCTCCTATTGCCCCGTTCTTCTACTGCCCCATCTTCTAACCCGATCTAAGGAAATTATTCTGTACAGATACCCTACAGACTGCAGGTTGGGTAGAATATGGTCTGTACTCCAAAGTGTAGTCTATAGAACTAGAAAATTCAATAAATTTAGTAAAACCAAAAAGATACATTGAAAAGGTGGCTACAGTTATATTAACAACAGCAGTCTCAACAAACTCACATTCAGGCCATGAGGACTGTAGAGAGAGCGCCCCCGCAGGCCGTCACTGTATCCTGCTGTCTGACTGATAGCATGGCGTAGGGTATCCACCTGGGGTAAGAAAGAGGACCGTCAAAACAGTCGTCATTGAATGGCTGGACCGCTACTCATGCACGTGGGACTCTCTCCTACTGGCTAATGTTGTGCCCTCACATGACAACACCAACGAATGGGATGTCAATGATCAGTCCGAGTGGCTAATGGAATATCTCTCTCTTTTGATTGTGTTTCCGATCCCCGTTTCAATGGCTTCTCTTCCACTGGTCACACTCTGCTGCCAGAAACTAGTGCAACTTAAATCCCCCAACTGCATAATTTCATGCTTAAAATCTTGTTTACCCAGAATATGAAATTATGGCATTAAATACCAACAGTCTTGGTGAGCTTCCAAACTCACGAATTTGTCCCTGCAATGTGCACTTCTTAAACTTGTCAACAAAGCTGTTCTTGTCAAAATGAGTCAGACTGTAGCTTTTGTTGTGACTCAGTTTTCCCAGCCGAAAGCGTTTCTGCAGTGGCTGTGTGGTTTGGTCGGTACTCTGCTAAACTCTAAAGTAAACATATAAAGGGTGAGAATGGGAACAGGAGAGGAGAGAAGAGCCGACGTGGTGAATCCCTACCCACAATCTAAGCAGATTCAAAAATAATAAAGTGTTAAATTATGAATCATAAAAATACAAATGTCACGAGCTGTTATTTATTGGCAAGTGTGTTTGCCGCTGAAGGTATCTGGCTTCGTTTTATTCTGTTTGTTTTTTTTCTCGTCGCCGCAAAATGGTGCCCGATGGAATTATGCATAACGACTTGTAAGCTGAAGCTTCCCAGGTTAAGTCGTGTGACAAGATTCTTGTTATGGTGCCTAAAGTACCAGTAGAATGTCTGTCCCCATAACGAGGTGAAGACTAAGTCGCTTTGAATAAAAGCACCAGCTAATTAATAATTAGAAAAAAAACAAGTCTATCAGCAAAAACTTGGAGAGATGCAGCGAGTGGGCCCCTTCTGAGGGGCCGTGGGGTTGTGCGGGGCTCCTACCTGTGACTGCACCCCCGCCGCCACCTGAACGCCCGGGTACGAGTCCCCGTTCAGGGTCGGCATGCTCATGAACATGTCCCCAGAGTTTGGGAGGTTAAAGGAACCAGAGGAACCTGGAAGGGAAAGATGTAAGTGACTAAATAAAAGGAGGAGAGAAGGAAGGAGGGAGAGACAGACAGACAGAAACGCTGAAGGTGTGGGGGTCCCATGAAGAGGTAGCGAAGAGAGGAACGAGAGGGTTCACAGGGAGCATGAAAGAGTCGGCAGATACTTTTACTCAAAGCGACTTTAAATTGCATACAGATACGGCACTGTGATCACTAAACGTCTCCTAAAGTCAGAGGCAATTCTCAGATTTTTTTTTTAAGGTGGGGGGCATAAGAGGGGCCAACCTTTCCATTAGCCAATGATAAGTTTTGAATCGGTGAGTGACAGGGCAGGGGCACTCCACAAATCAGTCAGCTTTCAGCTGTGGCCAGTGGCCCCGCCCCTGTATACACCCTTGCCTGAACAACTGAATGGAAAGATCAGGAAAGTGACAGAAGATGACATCTTGAAGCTTAAAGCTGGAACAAGTCCAGATCCTTAACTGCCTTGTTAACTGATGCCCAGAGCATTGTTTAACAGGGAAAATGATCTGAAATGAACCTTATCAGAGACATTTTATGCTTTGGGAAGACTAAAACCTCAAAGTTATTTCTTCTTTCAAATGAGCTATCTCTTATATAAGGTTTCATGCTTCAGAGGTTTTTTGTAGGGACTGGACCCAGATAGGTTCCGCAGGAACACGTAAAACATCCAATACCAGTAAACATGCTGGTTAGAAGGGTTCCTTTGCTCTCAGCTGAATCCAGCTGGAAATCCTCGTCTTTCATCTGGAAGCCTGCAGCAGGAGACAGTGTGGAGAAGGAGAGCCGGTCAGGGATCTTTAGCACGGCTGCGTATCAGTGGTGACACATCCAAGGGCACCTCACAGTCATTTGTTTACCCTGCTCCACTTCACATTCCCAGTGTTCCTCTTGGTTTACACTTTGGATTTTGCTTTTATTTATGAGTGTTTATTGTTTATGATTTTGCTGTTTTTCATGCCAGTGTGTAGCTCAAAAATTCTCCTAACGATCGATTCTGTTCTGTTCTGGATCAAACACACAGAGCCGTAATGGGATTACACTATAAGTAATTACAGAAAAGTTCCAAAGCAGCAGGCCGCAAGATCATGTCAGCCCTGATCTTTTGTTTGTTCTCCTCTTACACAAAAATAGATTTAGGTTGTGGTTTGTTCCTGGGAGGCCACGCAGAACCACAGGTTTTGCTGTTCCAGTTTCAATTGTGAGAGATTATATTAGTGCTGGGGATTATTAGTACAATGAAGCGCTTAGGTGCTCAAAAACAAAGATCAGTACAAAAAAAGATGCCCAAGAATGAAGACCTGTGTGGGAGATCTGTGGTGCTTCACTGGGGTGGGGGTGAAAGGGAAGCCTTCTTTGCTCTGCCTCTGTGGAGCATGGGATCTATATTTGCAATTATGTATGGCTGCCATTAAATGGGTGGAGCCAATGATGTGTGTGGCCACACCTACCGGGGTTGGGTGTGCTGGGGGAGTTGGCCTGGCTGTTCTGCACAGCGGCAGCCACAGCGGTCTTGGCAGCGTACAGGTTGGCCTCCTCCTGGAACTTGCCGATGTTCTTTTTGTACCGGATCCGCTTGTTGCCAAACCAGTTGGACACCTGGGAATCAAAAGGGAAATGTGGGTGTTATGGCCTCCGGTATAAAGCAGCCCTGCCAATGACATGCTTTTGATGTCTTGGCCCCCATAGAAAGGTGACCCCCCAGCCCCGGACTGATTGCAATGTAACATCACAGCAGATGGCATCACGCTAACGCACATGACGCCATGTCAGAACCCCAGCTTAGCACTAATCACGCCGTCCAGCATACGGCTGGCAATAAATCACCCTCTGTTTAAGAAAAAATTATAAAACAAGTCACCAAAAAGCATCGGGATCATGATGAAAGCGTGCAGCCGTTCCCAAGACCGGATGGCGCGGCCCTCGGGAAACACACCGTTCCTTTGTTCCCGGGCATTAACAACCTTGGCCACCCGTCTATGCCTGGAGATCAGGGACGCGCAGATAAATACGGGGTGGGGTCGCAGTCTGGGGGGGGGGGGGGTTATAAATCACCAGCAAAATGAAACATGGCTTTCTGTTCCACAGTCTTCGGGTAGACACGGGTTTTTGGAGGAGGGGACTCGTAGGTCGGGGGTAGGGGGGCTATTATGAGTGGGGGGGGGGCGGAGGAGGGAGCAGACAGTACATGACCCAGACAGAAAGGGCCGGATGGGGCGACCCTGTGCAGTCAGGCCAAGACAAAGCTCATACTGTCTGCCTGATCCTGCCCGTCCCTTATGCCGATGGCCGCAAGTAAAACGATTGTTCTTTCAGAATAGATTCTGTTTCAGGGGAGCTGTGCAGGCCATCCGGAACCCTGTTTCAATTACAGTACTGTAGTATATCACAGAAATAATGTATAGTTTGTACTGGGTCCCCCTGACTGATGAAACACTGCCAGAACAACACTATAAATATTATTTTCCCCCTTAAAAATAATATATATATTTACGTGAAGAATATGCATAAATAAGTTTGAAAAACATAAACATTTTCGGGTGCCAAAACGTACCCTGCCCTAAGCTGATATATTCACATCAACCCTTTGTGATTCCTAGCTCATGCTGATTTATCTGACATCATATTGTAATATATTCTCTGCTGGCTGGCTGTATGCAGATTGAATTGTTTTTTTTTTCGGGGGGTGGGGGGAGTACATTTGAGTGGAATCCTACTTTCAAATATTTATGTGTGACAATGACCAAAAGCAGAGGACAACAGAGAGAGAAAAAAATAAGGATATGTGATTAGAGGATGGATGGATGGATGGAAAAACAACAAAGATGCAAAATGAAGAGAAAGTATAAAGCATACACATCCTGTATTACAATAATGTTGAAGGGGTGTTGCAATTTCACCACATACAATAATACCAGTCTGACCTATTGGCATTCATCTAAGACAGCAGTGGCCAATTTTATCCACAAAGGGCTGGTGTGTATGCAGGTTTTTTGGGTAACCTTTAGGTTAGCTGTTCAAACCCAGGTGTGAGGATTCCTCAGCCAATCAGTCCTCTAATTAGTAATATAATTAGGGAGCTGCAGCGAAAACCCACACACACAGCGGCTGGATAAGACTGGCCACCCCTGATCTAAGAAATACATGCAGTGAATTATCAGAGCTGACTGCCATGGACTCAATTACAGGACCCAGAGGCAGGCCAGAGCCCACCGCACAGGCAGGAGCACGTGTGGGGAGGGCAGCCCCTAGACCACTAGCCACCACGTGATGTGAGCCACTGTCGCTCCGTGAGACATTTCTCTGCTCCTTACTAGTCCAACTGATTACTAATTAATTCAAGCACTTGTTTGTTGCAATCACACAGCTGCAGTACTAAGAACAGTAAAAAATAACAACAATAATGCCTGTGTATTACTGCTGTTATCACCACAACCACCACTGACAAGCTGCTATATTCTGTGGTCTTCCTATTGTTTTAATAAAACTCCAGAATTCTCCTCGAAATCATATGCAACTACAGGTGAAATGTATCATATATTAAAGCTAGATGTCAGAGTTATTCCAAAATGACGTTCTCCTGTGAGAGTCACACTGCTGTGTTTTTTTTTTCCATCTGTAAGGAACTGCACTGACAGCCTTTGTTTAAACATGTTTCTGAACTATATACTTTGGGCTGTATGTGAGGGGTTTTCCAGAAGGTTGTCGATTACAGATACCACAACTGCATAGTTTGCAGAACTGTACAGTTGCCATAAATTGGACCTGTCCATATTCTAAAACCATTAACATTACATTATGAAAGTGAGCTAAACACTTCTGTTTTCTTCTTGCTGAAAGATTAAGCAAACATTTATACATGTAATTAGTTGAAAGTTAAAAAAAAAATTAATTGTCATCTAAATTTTTCTGGTTTTATCGTCTTTCATTATTACATTTAAATCTCATTTAAAATGTAAACAAAAATACTTTAAAAACATTTACTTTTGGTATAGAGCATCCAGCTGTGAAATTAGAATAGAAAATAAGTGGTCAGTCAGATTTTCATACACTGCCTGTTTTATTTTTATAAATATGCATCTAACAACAGACAGAACAGACATTAACAAGCAAAATGATGGACCAATTAGGTTAGGAAAAGCAGGGACCAGGGAATTGTGACCAGAAGACTGCAGGTATAAATCACAGAGACGAGCTTTTATTACACTTATTAGCAAAACAAATACCTGGATCTGCTCTGGTAACTATATTCATGGATGAAGTGAATCTTAAAATTTCGGTTGATGGCTTGGCAATGTTAGCACTGAGTAGCTGAGTCGTTTACCTGAAAACAGCTTACTTAACATATTTTGCCATTTATTTAGTGGGCACATTACACAGGAGAGATGAGCTGGTTTCAGTACTAGGAGGTTCTCTGCTTTAGAACCATTAAAAATGGTTCCGAAATAAATGGTAGAAGTAAAATGGACTTTCTTACTGAATTATGTAATGTCGAACTATTCAAAGATACCGGAAAAAGACTGTGACCCAGTAGCCATGCATAATAAGTCATTAATCCCCCCCACCATGCCTCAGTCGATATTGACAGACCTCGTCCTCCACGCTGAGCTGACGATCTTTACAGGATCCCACCAGCACCGCACTGATGTAGCCTTGGCAGACTTTAATGAAGCCACTGAACTGATGTAAATCATAATGCCAAAGGTTGATTCTGGGCCCTGGCGCTAATATTATCAATAATGGAGTAAAATTCATTAATACTTAACAGATGAACCCCAGGCATGCCTCCACTAAATATATAATGGCTTGAAATATTGATGCACCATTCATTTAAACTGCGAGCGATTGTGGGGCAGAGAGTGATTGGCCGTCAGCCGTGCCCCCCCCCGCCCCAGACCCGGTCTGCTCCAGGAGGCGGGGCAGTTTTCTGTGGCAATGCCGCTGAGGGTTCTTCGGTACGTGAACTTTGACCCAACCAGCCCCTGTTGATACTTATAGCACCGAAGGACAGGAGTAGATGAAACCAAATTGATGTTTCGGTGAAATAACACATCCAGGCCAATGGGGGGGCACCCTCCCATCTGTTAGCCATGCATAAACAAACTGAAAAAACAAAGCTGGACACCTTTTGTAGGTTACCCCTACGACAACCAACCATGTGATAAAGAACCTCGCCTCCCCCCATCGAGCAATTCAAGGCCTGATGATCCTGAATACCTTCCGTCCCCCGTCCCCCCCCCCACCACACACACTCAGAGCGCAGAAGAGATCAAAATAGATCTAATCCAGTCTGTCATCCACGGGAACGACACCACGCTCCCAAAAAAACACGCCGCAGTCAGGGAGCGGCCTGCCTCCTTTCCGAATGCTAATTTATTCTCCTGCCGGTGCTAACCGGGAGGCTCAGGGAGCGAGCTCGCATTTTCGCCTTAGATGCTCGCCCAATTTTCCGAGGCGGGCGAGATCCAAAGGGGCTCGGCAGGGAAGCGGGCGCGGCGCACAATGGCGGCAAGCTAATTCAGGGAAGTGCCGATGCCGCGGACTCGATCGGTTTATATTGAGCCCCTTGTCGTGCCTGCTGAGCCGCTACGCAAAAACAGTGATTATGACACTGTCTCGCCCCCTCCCTCCACACAAAAATACGAAGGAATAAATAAGACGACCCCCAACTCACTAAGTCCACCTCTTCGCTGAGTAACGGGAAAGCAAAGACAAGCAGTGCAAAGTGCGTAGGCCTGAGGAGTGGATGAGGACGCAGTGCAGGAGCTGCAGTAGATGGACCTCGTCCTTTTGGACCTGCGCACTCAATGGTGGTAAAAGCAAACCAGACCAGAATCGTGTGTTTTAACAAAATTGTATGAAACTGGAAACAGAGGGTGTGAGTCTCTACATCAGGCTTCCTCACCCCAGTCCTTGGGGGCCACCAGACATTCCACATTTTGCTCTCTCCGAATTGCCAGGGAATTGGGAGAGATCAAAGACGTGGACCATCTGGTGGCCCCCGAGGACTGGGTTGAGAAAGCCTGCTCTACATGATACTCCACTCAAGCTGGAGAGTCAGGCAGCTTTGAGCTGTAACCGCAAGTCCTGGATGCATGGGGCACCGGAGACGTGACATTAGCTGGAGGTGTGTGTGTGCAGGGGCTCACCCACCTGGGACACTGTGATGGAGCACTTCTTGGCCAGTTCCTCTTTGGCCTCCTCGCTGGGGTAGGGGTTGCTCAGGTGCGAATAGAAATACTCGTTCAAGATCTCTGTGGCCTGCTTGCTGAAGTTCCGCCTTTTCCGTCTGTTGAGGGAAGCAGGACGGAGGAGAGCACAGAAGTGAAACATGGTGCAGCTGCTGGTTAGAGGTCTGTTCTAATCCAATGATTGCGAGCTGGTTTAAGCAGAACAGAAGGGGATTGTGGGAGTCGGCAATTCAATAAGCCTCAGCCAGCCTATTCTATGTACCCCTTCCTATCAGCCTAACTTCATAGAGTAAAGATGAGCATTTGCACCCTGATCTCTCATTTCAGGTGCTCAGTTGTGGTGTTCCGGCTGATAAAAGGCCTCCTTCAATCCCTGAGGGACCTCTGCTCTCATACTCGCCCCCACATTCTTGTCTGGGTTGATTAACCGATGCTGCTGGGCAGCTAGGCCCAGAAGGGAGGTGTAACAGGGCGTGTTTAGGGTGCGGAGATGCCCCGGGGGACCCAAGAAGCTCGGCGGCTTTGCGATTCCCGCTGTGCTCCAGCCAGGGGCTTGTCATCCTGGTTCCTTTCAATCTTCCTCATCCCGGTGACACGAGGAGGAAGGGCTTCTGCCCACTCACTGTCACTCTGCTGCTACCTGATTCCCGTACATGTGGAGGTTCCGCCTCCCATTGTTGCCCAGCAACTAAGCTCTGCCCCCCCCCCGTTTTGGTGAAACCACCCTCGGAAGACAGAAAGGTCATGGCTGTTCTTACCAAGTCCACCTCCAGGGGGAGCTGAAATCACCCCGCCTGAGTCCGCTCAACTCAAAATGTGCCGTAACATCCAAGGAACTCAACAACTTTCAGTAAGACGGTTAAATAGACTGTAAGAGGATTAACACTGTAAAAATCCAGACCACAATTTTGTTTCACCCAACCAGCTGAGTACTATGTACCTGTGACTCTTTTTACTAAACCGGTTGGTTGAAACAAAACTTTCTGGACCTGAAATGTCTGTAATGGATTACTCTTATGAGTAATTCCTTGGCACTGTCTACTCACAGGAAAACTGATACAGCATTACTGAACATCAGGGGTCCTCAGGACCGTAAACAGAGGTATTTGTGTGTCCAACACATGCACACATACATGACAAGCATAGACACATGCAGACACACGCGCACCCATGCGCAGACTGACCTGGCGTCCAGGAAGCGGGAGCGCAGGATCATGACGGCCTCGCAGGTGCTCTGCTTCAGCTGCATCTGGATGGAGCTGAACTTGCGGTGGATGATGCCCACCATGCGCTCAATCTCCTTGGGCGAGATGGGCCGCGTGCGCGACTGCTCCCGCAGCAGGTTCATCACGTGGGTGGTGAACTCGTTACATGCCTTGGGTGGGTGCGAAGGGGGGGCCAGACAAACAAAGGGGGTCTCAGCACGCTTCTCCCACCAGGTACACATTTTAAAACAGCATTTTAAAGGATCCTCCACTCTGCACAAACAGGACATTACTGCACTGGAATTTTATTTTCAGTGGGGGGCGGTGGGGGGGGTATGTAGTTGTTGGGAAATATGTTACACATTAGAAGAAGCCTTGCACAAATTCCTTTGTTTTATTTCTTTCACAAAAGAGAGGGATGCGCCATGAATATATAATAATCCAATCATTCAACTAAGTATTAATGATAAAAATAATATGCAGTGATTTTATCAGACTATTCTTGTAGTAATACAAATAGAAAATGTGTTTTTTTTTTGTTGATCATGCTTTTTTAGGTGTTGCTATGGCATAAAGGCATGGATGTGATTTGCCTCACCATTACTGCCCTATCGTGGCAATCACCAATAGATTGTGAAGAGACTGTGAATATATTAATATTTAATTAGGTGGGTGGGGCCTTTCAATCTTCATTAAAATGAGGTCTTCACATTCTGGAGGATGAGAGAGAGATCCCTGGTTTCCTCTGTCATGTGAACGAGGAGCATCCCTATTTTAGCCTGAGGGTATTTCAGGCAGCCTGAGTCCCAGGGTGGCTTTTTAATAAAGCGGCCGCACACTGCATAGGGACGGGGCCGTAAAACTAGCCTCTGACACCCCACCGCCCAGGGGACGTGCTCAAATATAGACCCCAGCTGCTGGGACTACAGCAGGAGAGCAGCGGTAATTCTCAGGGTACAGAAAGACATGAAGTCTAATTAAAGGCCAGGAGGCATGCCCCCTGCTGTTCAGTGTACCCCCCAGGGTAAGCGGGCATGACCGCCGGTACTGACGCCTCCCTGGGAGGGTCCGGTCCGGGCCTCACCTGCTCGTACTTCTCCAGCTCCGTGTGGTAGATCTGCCGGATCTGAGTCAGCTTGGCCCGGTAGTCCGAGTGCTCGATGGAGTTGTCCGTGGCCCCACCCGCTGCTGCTGCTGCAGCTGCTGCCGCTGCCGATCCACCGCCCTTCTCTGGGCCAGACACACCCTCAGCCAGGAGCATGTTGTCCAGACGCATGAGCTGGGGATCCGGCGGGTCTTCTTCCTGGGCACCGCGGATGCTGAGTCCTGTTGGAGGGGGCGGAGCAAACAATCACTTATACCATAATGCAACTGACTAAAATATTATATTAAGCTGGACACCAACATCCCCCAGCTCTCTAACTGAGTGACTCTAAATTGCCTTGGATGTATGTGTGTGTGTGTGTGTGTGCATGTGTCTGCGGGTTATGTATACATTACATTTGCGGGGACCAAATGTCTGCATAACTTGATAAAGACCTGCCATTTTGACCTTGTGGGGACCATTTTTTCGGTGCCCACAAGAGGAAATTCAATTATATAAAAATCTGTGACTGCAATCAAAAAACTAAAATTGTATTTAGTTTGGTTGCTTATAGTTAACCCCGCGACCCAGTAGGATACGCGGGTTGGACAATGGCTGACTGGCTGGCTTATAGTTAAGGTTGTCATTGTTGGGATTCCTGCTGAACATGCAGGAACAGCATGCACACATCATGTCACCGCGGGCCACAGTATCACCGGCGATGAGCAGGGACAGCCCCGCCTCCCTCACCACCGGCCTTTTCCCGCCTTTCAGCAGCGGGACTGAAATACAGCACGGGGTCACAAGGCTGTAAAAAGTCCCGGGATGAGACATTCATCTTTTTCAAAGCGTAGCTTCGCCCTGAGCTGGGCTCCCCGGTCGCTGTGGAAACCAAAGCGGCAGGAAGAGCACGGAGGGTGCTGGGCGCTGAGAGCGGGAGCCATTTAACCCCCAGGCTTTCTTTGTAAACATGGATTTGGGGCACACAAGTGACAGCAGCAACTGCATTCCTTTGTCTGTCCTTCTCTTTTCATTGTATAAGAAAACTAATTATTTTCAATGTATGTCTGAATATTTTTGCACGTTATTATTATTATTATTATTGTCATTATTATTATTATTATTATCTGCCACAATATATGCTGTACAAATATCTTTCATACTGTGTATCCAGTGCCAGGACAATGGGTTTATATACACTCCACTAATTGTATTTAATCAATATATCTATATTTGCACAATGTTTTTGTCTTGATGCACTTTGTAAGTGTGGACTGAGACTGATGACTTAATCCACCAGTATTTGCACTTTGTCCCCTTGTCTCTCCCATGATACCCCCCCCCTCTCTCTTTCTCAGTCCTTCCACCTCTCCCAGGGCCCATGTGACCCCCACTACCAGGTGCATTACAACAAATGAGAACTGTTTGTACTGCAGAAGATACTAATTTAGCCCAGCTAAGAACAAAGCACACTTCATTATGGCCAGTTTTCCAGAAGCTTCCGCACTGGCATTCGGCTGTGTGGCCCAGGCGGCCCAGCCTGGTCTGACTCAGCCTCCCCTCTTTTGACTCCTCGCCGGTTCAATTTCACCAAAGTCTAATGAATGAAGCCGCTTAGGCACCTGCTGCAGACGAGGGGGGCAGCGAGGAAACTGGTGCCACGTCAGGGTGATTAAACAAGCACGATAACGGTTGTTTGCCATCAAAGGCCAAAAAATCTGAAAATGACAGAGGAATTCTGGCCCAGGAATCCCTGAAGGATGAAAGCCCTCATCCAAAATCCATAATCCAATGGTGGCTGAAGGATGCCATCCGGCTCGTAAATCCGCCGTTAATATACGGCCGTCCGCAGCGCTAAAAAGCTGGAGATTAGCGCATGGCGGCCGCTCCCGTCTCCAGGTTGGCACGGTATCTTGGCAATGGTGGCGGACCAAGTGCCAGGCCCAGGGTGCCCGATCCAAGGCCAGGAGCGACAGGTGGGCCAGGGAGAGAGAGATGAGGAACAGGCCCCGGCAGCTCTGCCAGCGCAAAGTCCCAACGGCAGCAAGCGAAACAAAAACAGTCCTTACCCGCCTTTATTCCGTTTCCACATGATTTTGCGCCTGGGCTGAGCCAAATCAATCTCAGTGGCTTCCCGGCAAACCCACCCCGGTCAGCATATACCGCAAGCCCGGGGCGTCTCTCTCGACAGGGACACGAGCCCTTCGCCGTCAGGCTTGATGGAACGGAGGGGATGGATTGACAGGCCCGTCACCGCCACTCAGCATGGCCCAGGGTCACACTGGCTCTGTTCCAGCGAAGTATACGACAGGTACAACCGCACGGACACCGGCGAGTGTCGCTCAAGCTCGCCGCGGTCTTGCCGTTTACCAGCGGGTCCACACACTCCGGCAAAAACACATGGGACGCCCGTCCAGCTGCACGTTTTTGTTACACAATCTTTCATCTCCATGATTCTACACATGAAACATGGTCCCCCATTTCTCACAAACTTACGTGGGGAATTTTCCCGAACCCCCTATGCAACTCAATGACCCTGTGTGGGTGTAGATATATGGTTATTAAATATGCTTCAGGTGTTTATTTAGCAAAAACGATACGAGCATAACCAGTCATCACCCAATGTGGAAAGACTCCAGCTATGACATGTTTAAAGTACAGACTGTGATACACTTTCGTTTCTTAATTCTTTCTCATCCATTCCAGCAACAGAAAGCGTCGTAAACTCGCCAAACAGCGGCCACAAAGGGCAAATCCACAGGAACAGGGTAGCAGATCCCCCCCTCCCCCGTCCCAGACGCTACTCAGCTCTGCCCTTCCTGCCCATGAATGATGGGTTTCTGTTTCAGAGACCGGGATCGTGTGTATGTGTGTCTGTGTGTGTATGTGTGTATGTGTGTCTGTGTGTGTGCGTGTATGTGTGTATGTGTGTCTGTGTGTGTGTGTGTCAGTGTGTCTCAGTATGTAAGGAGCCCCTGTAAATCTTCTCCCAGTGATATGAACTTGGCTCCCCGTCCGGGACCATAAAAGTAACAGAAGACCTTTTGCAGGATAGTCTTTGCTAGTGAGTTTGGCTTTAACCCCTAATTCCAGTTCATCCACTCGATCTTCCCCCGAGACCTGAAACAATCAGCTCTTTGTGTGGGTTACCAGGTACTGGGGTAGCTAGGGAATTTAACCTGCGACTGATGGACTGTAGCCTCAACTTTCAGGGGGAAAGTTAATTAAGCTTTCATTTTAAAATAAAACCAGGCACTTCTGCTGAACAATATTTTGAATTAGGTACAAAAAGTTTATCTGAACCCAAAGGCTGCTTTATGCACATGTGTTGGCTGTTTTGTGAAATTTCGTGAAGGTACTACGGATATCCGGGTCGAAGCCGGGCCTGTGATTTCGCTGAGCGATTCTGGGTTGCTGCAGCGATAAGCGTGAATGATGTTGGCCGGGTGCACAATAACAGTTCTGGATGTGCACTTTCAACCTATGACCTGTTTTTCGAGAAAGGTCTGTCAGAGAGTTGATCTCCCGCTACCGGCATCTGAGAACTGAGCCGGACCACTCCTGCCTACAGCATTCTCGCCACAATACACTTCTGCCGGGCTTTTCACAGACAACCTGGCATCGTCCCCATGAAATCCACCCTGGGGTCCTGGCACTGATCTGGCTCCCACTCAGCTTCCTTCGCCATCTTCAGTAGAGCATGTTAACCTTTAGCCCACTAGCTTGTTTACGTCTCGGTCGGGATGTCGCCGGGGGAGACGCCAAGGCCAGAAGGTGGCGACACAGAGCCCGGCCAGAAGGCCTGGACCTCTCCGATGGAAACGGGTGGATGGCTGCCTCTCACGGTGCGGAAGCCGGCCGTGTCATTAGCGCCACACGCTGGGCGAGCGTGAACCTGTGCGTATATGTCCGCGTGGCCTCTGCATGTCTCTCCTTGTTTTCTTAAATAGCAACGCGTGTTCTCTCCAGGGCGTGAACACAGCCACCTGGGTATATCCGTGTCCGCGCACATCGGTATGCGCGGCGGGAGGGAGACGCGTCAGACTACCGGACAGATTCCAAATTGATATTGTTGTAATTAGTGTGCATGGCCATCTGAGCACGCTCGCCTGTGAAGACTGTCAAAGTGTTCCAGCTTCCTGTTTCTCTGCTCGCAGGAAATGAGGGAAAACAAGGAGCAGGGCGGCAGCACGCGGCCGGCGGGGCCGGCGGAGTATCGACCCCCAGGCCTGTCTTACGCCGCGCCTCTGCCGAAATGTCTCTCCATGCCAGCTAATTGAAAGTGGACTGATTAACTGTCAATACCTGCAAAGGTCATCCCTATTAAAGCAGCCAGTGTTTCCAGAATAACAATGGGCAGAGGAGAATGGAGGCAGCCCGGAAACTGGAGTTAATGCACCTGCGGCACAGATCTGTCTTCTTGTGTACCAACAACGTGTCTTTCTTACCTTTAGCTTTATTCTTATTATTCACCCCCCCCCCCCCCCCCCAGTAGCTGAGTGATAATATAGTCAGGTGTGCTGGCACTGGACTGAATTGCTCTCGGAATACACCGGAAGCCTCTTACAAAGAATCCAGTAAGGGAAGGTGTCTTCAATCTTCACACGGCGATGTGTCTCTTTTCCCATGAGCCTCAGCCAGAGACAGACGGCTTGGTGAAGGGCCTGGGGGGGGGGGTCAAATCCAGCTCCTTGAAGACATTCCAGGAGAGCCCGCCAAGGTGAGTCCAGATGTCTCCATGAAACTCAATGCTTGCTGCCATGAAGACTTTGGGTCAGGCTTGTCAGAACATGAATGCGGTGGGCATGGGAGTGGGGGGAGGCGGGGGGTTAAGGTGTCAAGGTGACATCATCAAATGGTAAGCTCTTCATCAACATCATATATGGGCTTCTGTTCTTCTGCTTCTTCTGTTTCTGTTCCACTAACTCTTCCACTTCCTGTTCTTAGGAAAGTGGAAAATGAGCAGACTAGTGACCAAGCCCAACCTCCACAATCCACAACTGGAATCTTATCCTCTCCAAACCACCCCCCCCCCCCTGCGATCCTACCATTCTTATCCATCTGCATCTGTGGCTGATTTATCTGGCCATTTGTTAACATTCATCACTCAATCTGCTGTCACCGCTGTCCATCGACCAAACATCTCAGCAGTATGTGCCAAGCCCTCACGAACCAACACATAAAGCAGAAGAACTGATTACGTCCACAGCAACAATCATGTCAGCTCTCTTATTCATTACGAGTCGGCTTGTGTTGGTTTGTTGGTTTTTTT